TAGAATCTAGATAATGTTCAACTAACTCATATAGGCAGCCAACCATCTGGAGTATCTTACATTGTTTCTTTTATCAGCTTAGTATTTCCATTCAGGACATTTTATCTCTGTGCAAAGACAGGAGTAGAAGCAGATGAGTGGATCAAGATATTACGCTGGAAACTGGTGAGTTATGACATCTACCGGATTCCCATGTTGCTCTTAGTTGCCTTTGAGTTGGTTCCGATTCATAGCGACCCAGAATTAACATGTTAATAATTTTAAACATGTTTCTGATGAAAGCATCCTACTCTCCTTAATGACCAGTGGGGGGTCTCCATGTTGCCTGGTGAATAAATAGTCTGTCCATTCTTTTGGGGGAGGAGGACAGAAGGGGGCCGAGGTAAGAAGGGAAGGATGGGGCTGCGGGCATTAGCTGAGTGCCCAGCACCGAGCAGCCTTCCATTTGTGTGTTCAAGCTAATACAATTTTGCCTGTAGAAGAACATTAGGGACCAGTAGAAAACTGACATCTCTATCTAGTTAGATCGATGCCTGCCTTTTAAATAGCTAGAAAAGAAAGCTTGGCCAGAGAAACTTTGCTTAGTTTCCACTGTAAGCATTACTTTGTATAGGTCAAGGACAAAGTGTAGTTTATTTTCTCTTCTGTTTATATAATCCCCAGGGGGAAGATTGAGGGCTTATAAAGATCAGCCAGCCACTTACATTTTTTGTGTGTGCATGTTTGCTAGTTAGTGGGTTACTAGCCAAGCACTTGATTTCAAAGCTTATTCGAATTTCCTTTAATACCATCGGGAAATGCTTGGTGTTGTCAAGGGTTAAACAATGTTTTCCTAATTATTTTTTCAAACAAAATTATCTGCTATAATGTAAGTGCTCTATCAAAACTTGGAATCTTGACAAATATTCCTTTTTAGATACTGGATATTTGCTTTGGCTATAAATTCAAAGACATATACACTTATTTGGAGATGATTCCAATGTGCTTGATATTCAATGAGGAAATGCTTGGCCAGATGAAATCTTAAAGATGAATCATTTTGTTTATTCTTTCTATTGTATAAGTACTTATGCAGTGATACATAATCTTTGTGGAAAAATTAAAGATCTCTCAAATGCATGCCATTTTTGACATCACCCCTTATAAATGCAAATTTAGAAGCTAAGTATAATGATTCTCTAAGTAGAGTTCTGGAGCATCTTTCCATATAAAAAATGTAGCTATATCTTCACATTAAGTTATTGGGAAGAACTATATTTTAGATCATAACTCTGAGGTCAGGTCTTTCTTAATCCGACAAAAATAAAGAAAATTAGATTAACGTGGTGGGGGAGTGATACTTAATTTATAATTGTATGGTTTCTTTACTAATCAGCATGACACTCGATAGTTGCTAAAAGCCACTCATGTGTCTGCTTTGTTACAGTCACAAATAAGAAAACAGCTGGGCCAAGCGGATGGCACAATCCGGTCTCGGTCGTTCATCTTTCATTAGCCCTGCCCTGACCGGGGATGCCCTGCTCCAGGTGCCGGGGGTATGCTCGCTGATGCAGGGATCAGTAGCAGACTTCAGAGGAAAGCAGATTAAGGAATTTGCTTTGAAACAAACAAAAAACCCACCACGCAGATGCTGATTGGGACCTTTGGGAAGATACCACCTTTGCCGGTGCGTGGCAAACTGCTGCCCTTCCAGGACGCTGCCTCCCCCCACCCAGAGAAGCAGTCATCGTTCTGAGAGACACAAATGAACGCATCCTCGCTTCCAGAGCTGGTCACGGTTACAACGTGCAAGATGCTGTCCCCTCTTGCTGTTTGGAGCCCCTCAGTGCTGTGGCCAATTCAGCTGACCTCGAGGCTGCACTATCGACCCGGAGAGATACTTGAGACGTAGGTGGTGTCTGCAGAGAATACACCGATAGTGAAAAATCAAAGATTTGAGGTGAGGGCGGGCAGTATTGGGTTATGTTTTGCTTTTTGGTTTCTTTTGCAAAAACACAAACAGCCGTCAAAAATTCGAAAGTGTTTGCCGTCCTTACTTTTTCTTTTTAAAAAGGCTCAGAAATCTAGCAGGCCCTTCGCTTCTAATGATCGGCCCGCGGAAACGAAGGATTCAGTGGGAAATTATGTAGAAAAATAAAGATAAATGAAGGCACACTTCTAAAACCTCCTTTTCAGTCATGTTGGAAGAAATGTGTTCCAGAGTGAGAACTGAAGAGAAGGTAATGAAGTAGCAGGTCACTTGTAATCTAATAGTAATAATAAGGTTGTTAGCTGCCCTTGAGTTGGTCCTTGCATCACGGAACTACATGTTGTCTGCTCTTTAGCTACCCCTTTGATTGGTTGCAGGGTGGACCGCTATGGCCCATAGGGTTTTCACTGGGTGTTTTCTGAATGTAGGTTGTCAGGCCTTTCTTCCTAGTCTCTCTTATCCGGTAACCCCACTGAAACCTGCTAAGCATCATCGCAATACACAAGCTTCCACTAACAGTTGATGGTGGTTGCCCATAAGAGGCGTTGACCAGGAATCAAACCTCGCCTACTGAATGGAAGAAAAGAATTCTACCACTGAACCACAAGTGCCATCAACAGAGCACCTGCAAGCTACTGTGTTATCTTTGGCTGGCATTTCTCTAAACAAGCGGAAAGAGACTTCCCAAGGAGAGTATGTTACACCCTGTCCTGCCCTCAAAGTAAAGTGTAGTGTTACCCAAACAGATGTAAGAATGACCTGTCCTGAGATCATGAAGTACCCTGCACCCTGCTCAGCTACTTCTGTCCTCAGTTGAAGGAGTCACACTCACTAGCATATTTAAGAGTGTGTGACACAGTCCTTTTCAAACTAGACTTCTGTAGGGGAAATCAATGCCAGTGTCCAGAGCCTACACTTCTTCCAGCTCCTCGATGCCATTACAGAAATGGCTTATTCAAGACCTTTGAAGGGAGACAAAGTGGAGGAAGAACTTGAACACGGAAGACGATTGTGGTCTAATACTCAGATATAACACTGCTCCTTCGGTCCAAGGAGATGCCACGCTTCAGTAAGTTTCTTCAGTTATCTAGACATCTAGCACTTAGAAGTTACAGTTTTATATATTATAGCAATGTTTTAAAAATTTTTGTTTTGTTTGCATAAAGCAAAATATCAAGTTAAAAGCTATGGGGTCAAGTTGGAAAACCAAGAAGTTTTAAATGAGTTCTCCCTAAGACGGAAGGTTTCCTGTTTTGTTTTTCTTAGAGTCAATGATGTCATTATGTAGGAGATACTGTTTTACTTTCTGTCAAATGTGTCCTGTTTATTTATAGTCTTTGGTTCTGTTTGTTTAAAAGAAAGCATGATATTCCTGCACATTCTTGTACTGTTTTGCTAGTAAAATATATTTTAATGTCTATAATTAAAAATAAATACAACTCCTGGATAAAATAAATTGAAATGAACACCTGCTTTGTTAGAACCTGAGATACAGAGGTTCAAAGTCGAAGAAACAGTTCCAGACCTTCAGGAGCTTTCAGCTGAAGAACACAAAGAGTGTGCAAATCGACACGTGGCAATGTATAGAAACAACCAAGATACACCTCCGATAAGTGTATATACAGAATTACTGAAGGTCCAATGGGAAGGGTGCATCAGCTGAGGATAGACCCCACTATGGAAAAAGTTTCACAGGAAAAGGAAGAACAACTGTGTACGTGCTACCTACGGTAATGAATGCTAGGCAGGTTCTTTACCTTAGCAACCCATTGGACATGCTTGTAACACAGGGGTTATGACTTGGGGCTTTGTCTTAAGTCTGGATTCTCTAGAGAAGCAAAACCTTGTGTATATAGACAAGGTTTCTATCAAGGAAATGGTTCTTACAGTGGAAGCCGCAAACCAGTTCCAAGCCCACGGGTCCAATGCCAGCCTGAGCCTTCTACTGACTCCCATAGCTGCAGGAGGCCATGGACGCAGGATTGGCAGGCTGCTGCTGACGTCCAGATGCAGGGTCCACTTCCAGCATAAAGTCAGCAAACTTTCCCACAACTTCCACTTATCGTGGAAGCTTGCCACACCCCTTAGGAGATTTCATCATGGAGATTAATTTGTATTAAGTAGCAAACCACTGAGGATCCTGGCCCAGCACAATTGAGACAAAACCTTAACTATCTCCTGCTGCTTGCTCCCTAGAGGTTAGCAGGGTCAGTTTCCCAGTGGCTTCTTGCAAGAAGGACGAGGCAACCTGCTTTCGCACAGACTTGCAGCCTCAGGGTCCAGGACAGAGCAGGTCTACAATGCCCCATGGCCATGGGGCCCCTCTGCATCGGAGTTCACTGACTCATTGGGCTTTTCAGACACCCTCAGCAAAGGTAATGTTGCCACCTCCTGTGAGGAGTCTGCGGAAGGGCCCTCGGCTACTTCTCCAAGCAAGCGGGGATAATGGCAGGTCAGAGTGGAGGAGTTTGGGAGACTAGCAAATGAGGTATCTCTGTCAGGCTCTGTCTGCTAACAGGTTTTGGGGTTTTGGTGGGGTTTTTTAATCAGAAAGTGCCTTGTATGATACACCAAAAGTGTTATCGATTAATTCCCTTCTGAGAATTCACACACACACATACACACACACACACACACACACACACATCACCCTGCAAGAAAAGTCTTGTCTCACAAGAATCCAGAGGATGCAAGAGAGTGGCATGGGAGCATTCCCTCTCAGATTCTGAGCCAGCAGGCTATGCTGTGCCTCTGTTCCAGGCAGAGAACAAAAGAAATACTTATTAGAGGTTGAAAAGTCTTCCAAGTGACTCAGTCTTACTTCCCAACATCACATCTGTTGCTGCAAACCCATATTTTCACCAGCCTTTTAGTCAAGTCTAAATCTTGCTTTTGAGCCAGGTGTTCAGCAAAGTTTCCCAAGCCATCTATAGTAAAGAGAGATAGGTGTTTGAACAGATCAAGGGGTAACTACCCCCCAAACAAACAAAGCCCACTGTCATTGAATTGATTCAGATTGATAGTGACTCTACATCGGGTTTCAGGCTGTAAATCCCTATAGGAGCATATAGCCTCAATTTTCTCCAGAGGAGCAGCTGGTGGGTTTGAATCTTCAATCTTGTGGTTAGCAGTCCAACATTTACCCAACAGAATCATCAGGAAATGTGTGCATCACAGTTGTATCCTTTTACCAGGCTTATTCCATGTTTCGGAGCAAATAACCCAAGAAGATGGACTATATGAGTAAAAACATGCCATCCTGGCTGGCTAAAGACTGATTAACAACCTGCAGTGTGAAGATGACAAAACCTTGCTTACTGAAATGAAGGGACTTAAGTACTTACTGACAAAAATCACATACTACAGCCTCTAGACTGCATAACACTTCAACATAAAACAAAATCCCCACAAGTGGTTGTAAGTGGTTCAGAGTGATGTGAAAAGGCGTTGCTTTTATTTGGATCCTAACCAATACCCTTAAAGCCAGCAGTAAAGAAATCGAAGGAAAGAAATCATTTTCAGAACTGAGGTGCTCTGGACCCGAGTCAGGGCATTTCCCATCCCCTCCTATGCAAGGGAAAGCTAGCCATGGATAAGAAAGACCTGAAAATTTGAATTTTGGTGTCAGCAAAGAATAGTGAAAATACCAGGGTCTGCCAGGAGAACAAGTATCGTTTGGGAAGAAATACAGCCCGGACATTTCTTAGAAGTGAGGATGGGAAGGCTTCCTCTCACAGCCTCCTGGAGCCCATGACTGCCGGCAGCAGTGGCCAGGCTTGAGACGCTCCACTGAACCCACACAGCAGGTAGGTAGTGGCTGCACTTTAACGTGCATCCGCAGCTCTGGGAATTGAGCCTGGGTGTTTGGGGGAGAATAGCATTGTTATTCAATGAAACACAAGTGTAGACGTGACTGCAGAGAGACTGTGGGTCACCTAAAAGAACGCAGGGGTTTCTCTAAGGAAGAGCTTTGGCTGGAAGAACTGAAGCCTTCCATTTCTAGCCTTTTATCTTGCTCGGGAGATTTCAAATGTGCCAACCTCCAGTCACGCATGCCAATTCCTTGAAGCAAGTAAGTCTGTGAAGGCAAGTCAAAGATGTATGGCTGCTCAGGTTCTAGCTCATACGGCACAGGTTTATTCTAAACAAGTGTGTCTCAGCATGCCTCTGCGACCCACAGATGGCTACAGAAAAGTTCTTTCAGTAACACACTTGTCTTAGTCACACGAAGTTGCCTTCCAAAGAAGCTTCCATCCAGTAGCGCCTCCCGAGGGATGTGCTCGGCCAGGCCATTCAACAGAGAGGGCAACTCGGGCTGCGGTCACTGCTTGGAAGGACTTCACAGGGGTCACCTTCCTAGATTTTCCTCAAAGGTCACAGGACCGTCACATGGGGCTATTAGGAAGAAGTTTTAAGAAAAGTAAAAACTGCATTGAATATGAAAAGGCTGGGAAAGTTGCCCAGAGGAATTGTCTCCTTTCTCCCATGACAAAAATGCACCTGCTTTCTTCTAGGGTAGCGAGGGTTATCCTTTAGGAATGACATTGAGAAGCCTTATCGGAACCAACCTACAGCCATGATGTGGCCCAGACTTCCCGCTCCCCAAACCAAAGAAGATTTTAAAAAAAATCATTTTATTGGGGGCTCGTACAACTCTTAGCACAATCCACACATACATCCACGTGTCAAGCACTTTGTACATTGGTTGCCATCATCATTCTCAAAAGATTTGCCTTCTACTTGAGCCCTTGGTTCAGCTTCTCATTTTCCCCCTCCCTCCCTGCCTCCCCTCTCTCGAGAACCCTTGATAACTTATCAATTATTATTTTTTCATACCTTGCACTGTCCGACATCTTCCTTCACCCACTTTCATTGTCCGACCCCCTGGGAGGGGGTTATATGTAGATCCTTGCAATCCATTCCCTTTCCACCCCACATTCCCTCCATCCTCCCAGTATCACCACTCTCACCACTGGTCCTGAAGGGATCATCTGTCCTGGATTCCCTGTGTCTTGTTCCTGTCTCTACCAGTGCACATCCTCTGGTGTAGCCAGGTTTGTAAGGTAGAATTGGGGTCATGATAGTGGAGGGGAAAGGGGTAGGAGAAAGCATTAAAGAACAAGACGAAAATTGTTTCATCCTTGCTACACTGCACCCTGACTGGCCCGTCTCCTCCCCGCGACCCTTCTGTAAGGGGATGTCCAGTTGCCTACAGATGGGTCTTGGGTCTCCAATCTGCATTTCCCCCTCATTCACAATGATATGATTTTGTGTTCTTTGATGCCTGATGCTTGATTCCTTTGACACTTGTGATCACACAGGCTGGTGTGCTTCTTCCATGTGGGCTTTGTTGCTTCTCAGCTAGATGGCCGCTTGTTTCTCTTCAAGCCACTCACAGAACATTGAAAAGGAACGTGCTATGAATCTTGGGAGGATGCCCAAACGGCCAAACTGTTGGATGTGGTGTAAAAGCGAAGATCGAGGAATTCTTCAGCAAAGGGCTAGAGATGGAGACGCCACCTTCTGAAGTGTGCAGGATCACGTGGAAGTTGTGTTGAGAAGTAATAGCATTACATTTTGACCATTTTAATAAAGGTTATTATTTTATAGCAAGAGTTCTTTATTTACCCTTATATAGAAATGGCCTGACTACATTTTCTTCCCCAAATCTCACCACTATTTTGTTATTGTATTGTGGTAATTATTTCTTTTAAAGAATACCGGCTTAGTCCCAAGGAGATGGAGATTGGTGATATCCCAAATGTCCAACTATTCCAAGATGCTATTCTGCTGTTTCTCCCCATTCCTCCCTTGAGTATATGCCCTGTCATCCTGGGTCCTGAGAGAAACTCATGACAATTTGATGAAAGGTCTCATGTGATGGTAGGTGCTGTTTAGTTCTAGAACGGGTCAGACTGTGGTGAGCCAAATGCAGCGTTAGAAGCCCGGAGCCAAACATGTCTAAAAGTCACAGCAGGGCTTGTCTACAGCAAATCTGCATCAGTAGCTGAGGTCTGCCTCCGCAGGTGAGGTGATGTGTTAGAACTCTATGGTGGTCTCACTATGTATTTATCTAAGGAAAACAAAGGATGGTATCTTAAATCACACCTCTCCTGAGGTCAAACAAAAGCTGTCCCCGAGGAAACAAAGCATGTGGCTTGGTTCACAACTGGTACTAAAATCAAACTCACTGCCTAGCTGATTTTGATTCACAGTGACCCCATAGGGCAGTGTAGATCTGTTCCTGTGGGTTTCTGAGATGGTAACTCTTTAAGGGAGTAGAAAACCTCATCTTTCTCCCTTGGCGCAGCTGGGGGTTTCACACTGCTGACCTTGTGGATAGCAGTCCTACTAGTAATCCAACACACCACCAAGGGTGTGGGGCCTGGAAGATGCCATTGGGGAAGCAAAGGATGTGGCTTGGTTCACACCCTGTGTGAAAGCCGGAGCTTAATCCCACCCTATTCCTGCCCACTAGTAGAGAATGCACTACAAAACGGGGTTATAGCCACAGACATAAAATCCAGAATTGTATCACATAAGGTAGTATGGTTAGAAGGGCCTTGGCTGACTTTAACTCAGTTGTATGCTGAAATATTTTCTTGTATACATACTTTTTCAAAAGGTTAAAATGCAACACACTTACTGCAGTTTTTTTCAGCGTTTGAAATGCACACTCTCAGATTACGGTAAAGAGCCGCACTCCCTACCCCCTCCCTAGCACAGAGATTGCTATCTGCACTCCTTGGAGGCTGCCACTGTCCCTTCAGGGCTAAAACTCAAAAACCTCTGCCGTCAAGGCAATTCCAACTCACAGTGACCCTGTCGGACAGAGCGGAACAGCCTCAGTGGGTTTATGACTGTAAATGTTTACGGAGTAGGAAGCTTCAGTTTCCTCTACAGGGGGCTGGTGGATTTGAGCTGCCACACCTACTATTCCACCAGGGCTGCTTTTCCAGAGACAGTCTATCGCGTGTAAGCAAACCTAGCCCGTAGGTTGTCTTATGATCTCTACAGAACCCGGTCACGAGGCACCTTCACCCACGGAGCTACCGTGGGTACAGGTGTTAAGAAAGGCAAGGGAAGGTGCGGTACCTGGCCAACTGTCTCACTGTATAAACACTGGGGTACCATTCCCATACACTTCACGTCAAAGACCACCCCAGAGAACAGAACTACGATTCGAACAAGGAGGGCGTCCACAGTCACACCCTCTACTGAGGTAGAGTAAGATGTCCCCAACAAAACAAAGGGCGTGGCTTGGTTCACAATTCTGCAATATGGTGGCTCCAGTACAAAGCACGCAGTTAAGTGACCAACCCCGATGGTAAAAGCACACAAGGGAGGGCAGGGGATAACCTCGAACAACAGACTGTCTCCTGAATACACAGACCCTGATCCATGACCGTGACAGTTCTTGTGTGGAGTTAAATGAAGGTAAAGCAGTTTTCAAACCATATTTACAAGGAGCACCAACTACTTAATCCTGAGGCTGAAAGAGTGTTACAATTACGGTCCACAAACTTTTTGAAGAAATGTGGGGAGGAAAACAGACATATATAGTGCTCAAACTATACTTTAAAAAATACTATTTTATTTATACTCATGTATGAAAAAAGGCTGTATTATCATGTTTACATACATACCAATATATGACATGGCTTGATAATGAATCACATCTAAATGTCATAAAGAACACACCAACATTATAACACTGATTGGTTATGTATAGATAGCAGAGTGGGGGTGGGGTGGGGTATCAGTTGCTATAATTTGAATTTTAGGGATGGAACAGCACCCTCTGAGGAACCACAACAATTGGCAAGTCGTCTATACTGTAGAACAGTGTGTACATAGGAAAACTTAGTGATTGTACTGACTTTATTACTTTTGCTAAGTCATTGTATTTTCCTCACATTCAGTGTCAAGAAATAAAACATCACAGGGAGGAAAAACAGGTTCTCCTAATTATTCACAATCAACAGGCCCGGGAATATTTTCAAAAGGAAGCACTTGGTTCACGTGGGTCACTATCATTTTGATGCTGATCCACTGAAGAGAATCTCATCTACATTTGATGACAGAACTTAACTCCATGGGAGCCACGGCAGACTGAACCATTTCTGTGGTATTCCCAGATCACACAAAAATAAGAAAACACCCCAAACAAGAAAATATAACAATCTGTCCAGAAATTATATCTATAGGCTCTTTCTTTTAGTCAAAGGTAGGAAAGAGGGCCCTTAGGTAAACAGATACAAGTATTTGTGTGGTCTAGAGACTGCTGAGTTGGTACTGTGTCTGTACAATGATAACAAGGCAGACGTCCAGACCGCTGCCCGCTTAAGACACTTCCACAACTTGTCTCAATTCTTCAAATAATGGGGCAAGTTCTTTTTCTAGGCTGACAATTAGTCCTAAAACAAAGATTAAGAACATGAGAAGGTTAGAAAAATGTTCCCGAAAAGTCTTCAAATAAAATTCCTACCTATCTAAAATTTAATTACTCAAAAGTATCTGGGACTGTTTATTCCCCATAACTGGAACAATACACTCTCTAAAACAGTCTACAAAAATCACTATGGAATTGGTTTTATCATTATTAAAGCAAACAAATCAAAATGTGTGCAAGGGAAGATGGAGAATGAATTATATTCACTAAGAAAACCTTGATTTATACATCAACCGTTTCATAATCTGTACTGATTCAGACATAGTACACATAATTTTTAATAAAGGTGTACACTTTTCTTCTGAGTAATTTAATAGGCTCCCAAAAGCAAGATGGAAGAGTTGCTTTCATTTTTTTTAAAAGGAAGATTTTTCTAATTTTGTTTTATTCACAGTATTGCGTTGATTTTGATCAAAGGAAAAAAAACATCAAAAATTTATTTTACATATTCAACAAAGACAAGGTATAAATATTTTAAATTTAAAGTATAATTTCAAAGGTAAATAATAGAATAAAACATACACTCAAGTTTTTAAAAAGCATTTTAATAATAAATGTGGAACACAAATATTTTCAGAATTAGATGATCTGGTGTCTGTACCAGAAAGAAAGGCTATATATCTTAGTGCCTCTGCTTCATGTTCAAACAAAGATCCTTCCTCTAACTCACAAGGAAAGATTAAAGGGGTCTAGGATTATCAGGGCCAAGTTCTAGTTACTAAGGTATCATTCCATATATAATCACTCAAAAACCAGAACCAAACTCATGACTATCCAGGGATTCTGAAGTACAGAGATCCCAAAGGACAAGGGGGAACTATCTCCTGGGGTTTCTGAGGCTTTAAGTCGTTATGGGCTCAGACAGCCTCAGATTGCTCCCTCAGAGCACAGCTAGTGGATTTGAACTGCCGACCTTGTCTAACGGACCATAAAACTGAAACTCATTTTAAAGATGCAGAATCTAAAGACAGGTTTAATGATCCAACCAGATTAAAGCTTATTCAAACTGCTTTGAAAAGAAGGGGAGAAAAAAAGAAGGGGAAAAACCCAATGTAGAACAATTCTAAATTACAGTCAAATCTTAGGAGATAGACCTAAAATAAATTCAACTTTAGCCAACAAGTAGTAAACAATTAAAACTCAGCGGAACACGGCTGTTATTTTACACAGAAAATGCCTAGAGATAGGTATTATGTATACACCCACTCCTTATTTATAGCATGTTTGGATGAAAGAGCAGTTCTGTGAAAGTCATCACTATACAGGAAGAGGAGATGGATGATGAACTCATCACAAAACGGAGGGTGGCTGCATCCATCAGTACATAGCTGCCACACCATAAAGGACCACGGCCCAGCCAAGCTGACAGACCATCTTAATCATCCCCATGTTGCACCTCACCCCTGGCTACTTCCAGACGTCACAGATATCCGAAAAATTGTTGGATACATGTTTTACTACTGCTGTGAATGAGAAATGCCACTTAACAAGGCAGTTGATAAGTGAGGAGCAGGTAAAATGAGATTTACTATCCTCTCTCTATCAGGGACCTCAAAAACTTTCTAGAAAAATATAATGAACAGATAATGGAATTTGTCTGACAGTTTCCTAGTGTTTGTTTTCAAATTAATTAGCTTTCTAGAAGGGTGGGCAATTACTGAAAATAAAATATTTCTTAACTAAAAATTAAACTAAAAGAAAAATGCTTTAACACTAAGTTCTCAATCACATTCATCTTAGTGCTATCTTCCAACATTTTAAAGTTCTCATCTAAAAGACTGGTCTATATAGAATGAAATCATTCTTAACCAGTTTGTTTTCTGAAGGTCTGACAACGTGAGCCAGATGTAGGACTGAAGAGATAAGGTAGTGGTTATGGCGAGGGCTGCTACCTACGAGGTCCAACAATTCAAAACCACAAACCACACTGCAGGAGAGACGACCTACTCCCGAATGCATTAAAAGTGTGAGAAACCCACAGGGGGAGTCCTACCCTGTCCTAGAAGGAGGGCTACGACTCGGTGGAATTGACTCAGTGGCAGAGCGTTTTGAGTTTTATAACAAAATACCACCTTTCCTTACTGCCACACTTGACTAGAAAAGAACCTTTAAGAGGGAGAAGGCTAGGTTATCATCAATGTACCGGCAGGGAAACCTGGACTCAAAGAACCGCTTTCCTCAGAAACAGGGAAAAAAGATCATGGAACTTGTCACTGGCTCCAGTGTTCGGATTCTCAATGTCTTATCCCTGATGCACTAGACTGCTCAGACAGAGAAATATAAGGAACTGAAAACTGTATTTATGGTAAGTAATTACAACATACCTGTATTGGCATTGCTGCTGGCTATGAAACTCACCACCAAAGGCAAACGATTAAACTGAACCACCTAAAAAGAAAACCTATGCTATAAATTATGTTTCAGAATGGTAACATAACTCATTTATCTTAATTGTGAAAGTTTTAAAAAGGCCAATGTGTAAGACACTAGTCTAACATCATGAAACATGAAAGAGATAAAAGTAAATATCCCTTGTGATGCCCACCCCCCACAAATATGGAAATTGACAAATTCCATGTAAAATGGTCACAATAATTAGCATCAGAACCTTTTGAAGTCCAAGAGGGAAAATGAGCATCAGGATCGTCCCAAAGTTGACATATCTCTATTCTCCAACCTTTTTACCACGTGGCACCAGTCATCTTTCCCACAGCACTCTCTGGGTTCGCTGCAAGGGCCACTCAGAACCCACTTACAGTGGGTTGCAGTAAGCCATACTTATAATTAGGTGGTTTAAGAAGTACAGGTTACAACTCAAGATCAGGATCAGTAAGCATGCAGTCCATGTCTCCATGCATGCCCACTCTCAACCACACGTTACCTCTCTGCCTTCCACCTCCCTACCATTATCCTCTCCACCGCTACTGGCACACAGCTACTCCACAGCTCACAGCCACTGTAGCAGTTCTGGAGCTCTCTTATCATGCATCCCTAGCACGGTTTCTGCCATAATCCCTTCTGAACCTGTCACAACTAGCTCTGCTGCAGGGCCCCTTCCAGACCTCAAGTTGCCTTTAGGGCAGCCCTCGATACATGTTCCAACTCCTTTAGAAGGTTCTTCACCTCTTTGGGAAACCCTAGAGGCATAGTGTGTCTCGTGTTGGCTGCTAACCACCAGTCACTTCAAGAGAGAAAAAGAGGGTTTCTACTCCCATGAAGAGTCTCTTAACCTCATAGGTGCAGGTCTACTCTGTTCTCCAGGACCGCTGTGAGCTGGAATGGACTGGGTGGCAGTGAGTTGAGTGAGTTTGCCTCTTCTGTCTCCTTGCTCCTTTCTACGCCCTTCTTCTGTCAGCCAAGCTCCGTGGAGTTGGTTGTCTAGGTAAGCAAACTCGTGGCCATTTTGAAGGCATGGCCTCTCCCACCAGGGTCATGAACTAAGTAATCCCTTCTTGGTAAGCCACATTCACTTCATCTGCATAATAGTTAGTCAACCAATTGGCATGTTTGTTGACCAACTCCTGCAAGGCCCATAAAATAGAACCTTTGAGGCAGAACACTAAGGAGCCTTGGTGGCACTATGTGTTTGACTTTGGGTTGCCAACTGCAAGGTAGTGGTTCATAGGCAGCAGCCACTGCACAAGAGAAAAATGCAGCTATCTGTTCTTGTACAGATTTACGGCCTCAGCCACTCTACAGAGTCACGGAAAATCAAAATCGACTTTCCTGGCAGTGGAGTTGGGGTTTGGGTAGAAATCCAAGGTAAAGAAGTCTTCAGCCTTTAATGGACAAATCTTTCTAACTTTTCCCAAAGAACCAAATCACTAGGCCATACACAGGAATTTTCTCCATCACATTCTTAGAAACATTACCACCACTGGAAGCCTTAAAGCTTTTTAAAGTAGCCTAGTTTTCATCTTACTTTTATCTCTAACGGTCAGTAAAATGTCAATCACATGGCAGGAGCTCAGCAACTATTTGATAATGCAACAGCTAAAAGTGCTGGTTTTTTGACATTCAAGTAGCTGTATTTTCATGACTTTTTTCCTGCTTTCTCGGTACACCAATAGCACATATATTTTAAATCAACTTTGTATCAACTACCTTTTAATAGTTTTTAGCTTCAACTTAGTATCTGGGAAACGGAAGGTCAGATGTATTGGCTTTTTATTTTTTTACCTAATTGTAGTGAAGTGAGATTGCGCAAACATGGCTCTGTATTCATGTCTCTATAAGACCCACCAAATGACTGGGACCCTGAGCACAGGCTGTGCGAGACACCGAGAGGCTCTGGTCAATTCTGCCATTCCTCCTGTTGCCAGACAGCCATCTCAGAAGCAGAGAGGGAATTCTGTGACGATCAAAAAAGAAGAGCCACCAATGGGGCTTGTATACCATTCCTGAACCAGAGACAACAGCACTGAGATCGTGAGCAGAGGAGAGGAATTGTGCTGAGACGATAAAGCAGAACAAACCAGCAGCATCAAGACCATGAGGCGGAAGGCCAAAGGACCAGGTGACGACTGCAAGGCACAGCCCAGAGAGAGGCACGTCTGCCAGCATGGCTGAGAAGAGACCTCATGGACAAGACCTGCATCCTTAACATTTTTCAGTCTGTTAACTTCCCTAATAAACTCCCATATAATTGTGAGTGTTATCTGCGAGCTCTGATTAGCCATTGCTACGAATTATCAAACACAGTCGAGAAGCAGAGCGCTGTGGGAAGAACGACTGGTGTGAGAACAGTAAGGATTGAGGGTGAACACGTCTGGCCTCTGCCAATGACAATCACTGTTGGCTTTGTGTAGGCCTGGATCCTTCTCCCTTTAGGAACCAGAGGTCAGTCGTGGCCTTCACTCATTTCCTCACCAACACACCTTATCTTACATGATATTTGTGTATCGTCAGTTGCATGTAAGTCATGCAGAAAGGACCCGCTTATTCTACAGAAGAAAATGCAGTTAGAGATCAAGAGACATGTAACAATTTCCCCCCCCACAAATAATATCTCCATTTAACATAGGAGAGACTTTCAAAAAGTTCATGGGAAAAAAAAATCCTATTATCTTTTAATGCCACTTACCACACATTTTCTTGAAGGCCCCTTATATAAATGAAGGAGTAACAGAAACAATACATTCTAAGAACTTACCATTTGCCTTTGGGGAAAAGTTTTATAGATGTCACTTGAGAAACCATCATTGTTTAGCTAAGGGCACCATCTACTGGAGGTAAAGGTGAGCTGACTTCCTTTTTAGGGTAAGATAAGCTATATTATTTTTGAAAAATGCCTTTCTTAGTTATTTACTACTATAAAATCTAAAGAAAAATGCCACACTTTACCACAACCAATTTGAGGGCTAATAATAAAAAATTCTTTCAACTCCAAAACCGAAATTTAGAATTATAAAAAGCTATTAATCTTAAGGGGGAGGGGGGAAAATGCTATTGTAGAAGATCCAACAGTGATGGTTGACAGTTAAAATCACAGACAATGTAATATATTTGTGAATTTACCTGGTAGGTGTTATAGTAACAGATGATACTTTTGTTTTTTGAGAGACCAAGTTTGCTGCCTTGGTCAGTTGCGAGAGCAAACGTAGACAAGAAGCCGGGTCTCAAAGCGTGCTCTGGAGCATTGTCATTGGCCACTGGAAAAATGAAATGATTTTAGTAAATATTATGTAGAGGATATATTATGGTAGGTAAAAGACTGATGGCCCTTCCTGTCCCTAACTGCTCCATGAACCCATAAAAATGAGCATAAAGGTTTGATGCCAAAATTCCAAAAATGTCATTCCTGGGGTCTCAACTCAGGTGGGAAAAAATTGCTCAATTTTGTTTACTCAATTATACTCACAGACCATAATTAAGGGAAGAAATGCGAACTCACCCAAGGTTTTTTGAAAAAAAATTATACGTAATGTTAAAATTTTCTTGACATCTACTTAAAGCATAGAGTATATATCAGTGCATTTAATAAATATGTTGGCTAGCTGAGAACTAGAATAAAATCATGAAACAAGCAGCCAAAGCAGCATTTCTCGGAGATACTGTATTTACACTTCTGCCACTAGCTGCAAGGACTAAAAGGAGTTGATCGTAATAACCAGTAAGGACAGAGCGCAAGGTTTTAACAGAGACTCTAAAAATAGGTGTTTCAAAACCAAACCCCAAACCCAGTGTTTCCAACTCAGAGACCCTACAGAACAGGGTCCAACTGCCTCCAGCAGGTTTCCAAGGCTCTAAATCTCTACGTGAGCAGATTGGAACATCTTTCTCCCTCCCAGTGGCTGCTGGGGTCCAACGGCCCATCTCCTGGTGAGCAGCTGAGCTCATCCAAGGACACTGCCATCAAGTGATTCTGACTCACAGAGACCCTACAGGGTACAGCAGAACTGCTCCACGCGTTTTCTGAAACTATACACCTTTACAGTTGGAAAATGTCTTTGATACTTTTTTGCTCAAGCTCCCATCACAGAACCAAGACAATCCAGTGACCGTCCGTAGCCAGCCACGTTTTAGGGCGGGTCAGGAAGTATGCCGAGCCACATGACTTTATGAGTTCCATTACTGTCCTGTCACTGACTCATGGACCACTCTAGACTGGCAATGCAGACTCTGTACTTGAGCATGTTCCTTTACAACATGAAAGACGCAAGTTAGGCAACCTCTAAACTTCCTTTAAATGCTAAGGTCTAACATTATCTTACTCGTTGATACCAACTCCCCAAATTCACTGCTATTAAGTGGATTCCTACTCACAGTGACCCGCCAGGACAGGGTAGGCCTGCCTCTATGGAGTCTGAGGCTGTTAACTCTTTACAGGAGCAGAAAGTTTCACCTTTCTCCTGCAATGCAGCTGGTGGTTTCAAACTGCTGAGCTTGCAATTAGCAGTTCAACACATAATCCACTACGCCCCAACGCTCCTACACTATGATAGCCACATGGAAATAAATAGTAAACAAAGGGTACAGATTACGGAGTCTTCCTCAAGTCAAGTTATTACAGTGTCCCATCTCTCATAAAACAGTGACCATCTATTAGGATCATGCCAGGTTGTAGAAATAATTAGTAAAAACAGACTGAATCCACACTGACTAGCTCTGTGACATCATGAACATTTTTAAAAATTTTAAGTGCAAAGGCTGAAAATTAGGTCAATCATCCTAACATTCCAATTAAGATTAATGTTCAATGCAAAGTTAGAGGTTAAAAATCATCTCTATTAAGAAATCAAGAAAGAATCAATCAATCAATATGATTATTTAAAAGATTGTGTGTTAATCCTAAAACTACCAGCAAAAGAACTATGGGTAAGAAATGTAAATGAAAGTGTGTGGGTCCACGGCAATGAGTGAGTTTGGTTAGGGTTGGAGCCAGTCTGCGCATCCAGTGATTCACCTCATGTGCACATGTGCCCAGTCTCATCAGGTTTATAAATGTGTTATTATGACACAAAGGAGAAACTGGGACTGGGGTTCATCCAGGCTGACACTCTGAATGCTAAAATGTTAGTATGTGGTAAGTTTTAGGTTCCAATTCAACCACCACCATATAACAGCAAACATTAAAACTGGGACCATGTACTGAATTTAATGATGAGGGTTTTATACACTCCCTTCTTCACCACTCAGCTAGAAATGGGCATGTTTCTGTCAAAAGCAACCACAGCAGTTGTAATAAAGTGTGTACTGTTACCTTTAATAACAGGTACCCCATCTCTATCGGATACAACAATAGCATGGAGTCCTTCAACACTAAAAAGAACAAAACGGTAAAATATTACACAACATTCCATTTTCTGAAAATATGTACTTCAAAGTAGTAATGGTAGCTTTTACAACATTTCTGGGGGCAATAAAAACATGGAAACTCAAATATTAATTTCAAAAAATCTTGTGTCTGCTGAAACACTTCTACAAATCGAATGATTGCCACTAACATATTTGTACAATGTATTGATAAAGACCTAAAATATCTGATTCTCCTTTAATGTACTAACATTCTATGGTTTAAAAAAATGTGAAAGGTCATCAGCAGCCAGCGTAAGAGAGAGCCATTTTTCTCTCAGGCATTCCACTCCCAAGTGCTCAGTATCTGTGGCACTTACCACTCCTCAGCGATGAGCAAAAGTACACAGTTGCTGCCTCCACAAAACTTATGATCCACAAGTTGTGCATCTATCAAAGTACCTCAAACTAATGAATGTAACATTGCAACTTATCTAAGTTAGATAGATAAGCTAATAGCTTCCTAATACTTATTCTAATGCTAATTCCTAAATACCAACTAATACAGCAAAAGAGGAAAAACATAAACACTGAGAACAGGCTATTACATATCTAAGACTTCTAAGTGGACCAATATGCTTCTACACTTATTTTTGTTCCCCAGTCTGATATCCCCCTCCCTCCATTTTTTATTCTGTACTAAAAGTAAAGTCTGCAACAATGGTCAATTAATAAAGTCCTGCTTTGCAGTTCTCAATGGACATTCAGTTACAAGCTTCAATTTAAATAACATCACTCCCCCAAGAGCATGGTGCAAACTTCAGTTTGCGTAACTTACTGCTTATGGGAGACGCTTAAGTGTAAACTGTTTGGCCCACAAACCACTGCAAAAATAACGATATAAATTCATGCAGACGCAGCAAAGCATGCAGGGCACCACCCTTCCTGAGATTTTTTTTATTGTAGTTTTAGCTTCACAGAAAAATTTGTGTTCTCAGTTATCCCCTGCACCAAAAATACTATTTCTTATCAGCACGCGGCTTTCTGTGGTACATTTGTGACAACCAGCATGAATACATTATTAACTGAAGTCCATAGTCCCATTAGGAGTCATTTTTGTGAGGTACTATCCTATAGGTTTTGAAACATGCATGCCGATAGCCACCATTACTGTACCACACAGACTTGTTTGGCCTAAAAACGCTCTGTGCTCATCTATTCATTCTCCTCTCCCCACCTCCGAGACCCGATTTGTTCACGCTTCTCCAGGAAGCCGTTTTAGACTGCTGCCTTCCACCAAGCAGTCTGCACTTACGGGAAGATTCTTCCACGTCTTCTCATGGCTTGATAGTCCATTTCTTTTTCTTGCTAATCAGCACTTCATTGAATGGTTATGTCAGTGTGCCTATCCATTCACCTTCTGAAGGGCATCTCGGTCACTTTGCACACCGCTGACGGCACAGCGACCCCCTATGGCTTTCCGAGACTGTTTACTGGAGTAAAAAAGCCCAGTCTTTCTGCCAAGAAGCTGTTGGTGGAGTCAAGCCGCTGACCATGCGCACTGCAGCCCAGGGCTTAATCAATACCACCAGGGTTCCTAAGAATATGACAAATCCCCAAGGCTGCGAGAAGCTGCGTGCTCATCTTGGACCTGTGACAAAGAGGCACTTTTGGAAAGTTTTTGCAAAGATAAAAACACCTGTATGCAATTCTCAGTATTTTTTATGTTGTAAAGTTGAGTGTACTAAAATTAGTTTCAGTGTTTTCCTCCCTACAAATATTTATAGCTAAGAATAAATATTTTTAATATTCTGACCAAGAACTAGGAGGATCATAGGAACTGCAATCTCCCACTGACTACTACAATCAGTTGGCATGTTTTCAGTTTCTGCTGAGGCAGCCCTGCTGGCATTGCTAACCACTGTGCAGAATGCAGAACCCACAAGACTTGGCTTAACAAGTTTGCCAGTATTGGTAAAAAAGAATTTACCTTTTACAGTAACATAGAATCAATGGCAACAATTATATAACATTCAAATCGTTCTCTTTCTGAATACAAACGAAAACCCTGGATGACTCAAAACCAGAAACTAGTATTTATTTTTAGTGTCTGTAATCATAGTAGCTACAGACACAAGCCAATAAGCAAATGGGAACGAGCAATTCAAACAAAATCCAAACCCAGAGGAATAAGCTGATACCTAAAACCTTTAGACGTGACACTGATTTGAGGACAGTGCAGTAATTGAAAAGTCATTCAATTGATTTGGAATCAGTTTTCTTTTTTTCTAGAATGTCAGAACGGAGGCCTAATGTCATATCCCTAATGTCAGTTCCCAGAAATCCTGAGTTCTGTGTAAATGGATGTGGGAAGGAAAGCTTCAGATGCCACAGAAGGCACTATTATCAAGAGAATTCAACTGAAATGACAAATTCCTTTGAATCGGTGAGATATATATAAGGAAGTTTTTGACATTAGCACATCAGCCTATTTATAAAACGGGACAGCAAGAGGATGGTGTGCTGACAAAAAAAAAAGACAAGTGATTTTCAAGCGTGAATTGCTAAGGCAGGCTCAGCAACTACGCACTAGGTCGTCAAAGCAATAGAAGGGTAGTGCAGCTTATTCATTCTATCATTCTTTTTCTTCCCTTGACAGGCATGCTGTTAACTACCTAAACTATAATTCAACAAGCTATCACTGTGTATTTGAAAGAACCCAAAAGTAGCAAGAAATATAAGTTCTAGCTCTCCAGTTTCCATCAGCTGTTCAACCTTCGAAAATTCAGGTGAGTATGTTAGAACTTAATATTATCTGCCAACTCAAAGAAAAACACCGGTTACCTCTTAAGGTTGCAGTTAGATATTTGAAAGGGCTACAGAAGGGCACTTTATATATAGCGACATTAGTCTAAAGTAGAAGCAAAAGACCATCTACATCATATTTGCAGAATTTATTCAGTAATTACCTTGGTAATTTTTTATACAGGAATCTCTTTAGGTCCTAAAAGAGAAAAAAAATATTACAAAGTCATATTATAGTAATATGCCTCCATTCATTTCTCTGGATACCATCCTATTAATACACATTTCAGGAACTTTCAGTCATGTTCAGCACCTTTCTTGCTTATATTTTATCTTTATCATTTTGATTCAGATACCTACTAGTTAGGCAATTGGATTAAGTTAACTAGTCTGCTATCTGAGCCTCAGTTTCATTATTTGTATAATAGGAACACTCCTAGAACCTACTTCATGAGTCTGCTGTTAACGCTCATTGAGAGGCTGCACATAAACGGATCAGTATGCCAGGAAATGGGACAAAAATACAAATCAGATGACCCACTCCATGCTACGTTGCACCCTGTTGCTACTGCTGTGTTTGTTTGAGAATCTCTGATGACCATCTTTCCAGATCCAGAGAGCACTTTCCAAATTCACTTTTAGTGATCTTTATATGATTAAAGATAAAGGGACACCATACACAAAGCATTTAGCATGAAACTTTAATTACATCAAAACAAAACCAGTGGCCCCAAGAGTCCATCCTGAGTCAGGGTTCCCCATGTGAGTCAGGGCAGAACTGTGCTCCAGAGGGTTTTCAGAAGTCAATCACCAGGCCTTGCTTTCTGAGGTGCTTCTGGGAAGATCGCTCAGCCAGCAGTGAGTGCATTAACCATTTGTACCACCCAGGAACTCCCACCCACTCAAGTCAATGTTGAGTGAATTCTGATGCAGAGTAGCCCTCCACGACAGAATAGAACTAGCCCATTGGGTTTCCAAAGCTGGGATCGTTATTGATGCAAACTGCCACATCTCCACCTGTGCAGTGGCTGGTAGGTCGGAATGGCAGGTGAGCGCATAAACTGCTGTGCCACCAGGGCTTCTGGCCCAGAATACAAAAACAAAGCCCACTGACACTGAGGCCGCCCTACTCATAGCAACTCTATAGGGCAGGGTAGAATTGGCCCTCGGAGTTCCCAAGACTGTAACTCTTTGTGGGAGTAAAAAGCTGTCTTTCACCCAAAGAACAATGGTTTCAAACTGCTGACCTTGCAGATCACAGCGCAGCGAGTAACCACTATGCCACAAGGGCTCTTCATCATAACAACACAAGCACTACTGAATCAGTAAGGACTAAAGAAATGAAATGCTTTTGCTTAGTATATATTCAACTCGAGAAACGAATAAATCTGGTTTCAATTAAGACCTCTTTGTAGATAATCAGATAAGATAGCTGTTCTTTAGACACGGAAATCCTATAATTCTCTTTAACCTGAATGTATCACTACCAGTTTACCTGACTCTCCTCTTATACACACACACACACACACACACAGACACAGAGAATTCAACCTGTTTCCCCAAATCCACATTTCCTCAATTTTGCCATTTCCCATTAATGGTATTACCAATCTCTTGATTTCAAGTCTGAGATGTAGAGTAACAAATTAGCTGTAAGTTACATTTGCCACTTTTAAGCCATTTGTCAATGAAAATATTTTTAAGTGGATCTTTGATCCACACTATTACTTTTATTCTTTTTATTACTTATGACTTGAATTAGTCTCCCAAATGGTAGCTGGTAGTCTCACAGATTTCTCTAACCCGTCCTGTACTGTTGTGCTAGTTATCTTATCACCCTTCCCTAAAGCCTTCATGACAGTGGTTCTCAACCGCAATAGCAATCATGTGGGACTTTCAAACAATGATGCTGAAGCAGAGGTAGACCCTGGATGATTTCCTGTGCACCCAAAGGTTGAATGGCTCCCCACTGTTATTGGATTACATACAAATACTTTACATATTTGCAGCTCTCTACAACATGGGCTGCATCTAATTTGACAGTCCTCCCATATCTGCTCAGGACTACAAAAAGCTCCTCCACACACACAGCTCTTTCTTCCCTGATTTTGCTTATGTGATTCACTCTACCAGAAACATTTTCCTCTAGGTCTTACATAAAAGAAAAAAGCTATTCAACATCTAGAACTTAATCTCAATCATCAAATACTGATAGACACCCCCCACCCCACCCCAAATATCTGATGTAATCCTGCCTTCCTTTAAATTTTCACATTGTTACTCTGGGCACACTATGATCACTTAAGTACTCTTTCTTACTCCTCAAACTCAGTTACAGCTTAATCATCCTTATTTTACCTATTGCCCTTGATCACGGAAACTTTGTTACAAAGTCTGATTTGCGTATGCCTAAAGCATAAGTAAGGTTTAGAAAATGCTATGGGCTCAAATATAGTAACTCTAAGGGTAAGCTATTTCATCTTGTTGTGATTTAGCATCCTCTTCCGTAAGACAAGAACAGCAATTCTTTTCAATATTTAGAATATACAGCAAGATAACAACAGGATGTAAAATATGGAAATTAATCCTCATAAATCTCACTCACTGCACACTGTGTCTGACTCATAGGGGCTCTCTAGTGGTGTCCTGGACTATGCATTGAGCTACTAACTGGAAAGTCATCGGTTTGAGCCTACCAGTTACTCTCACAGTTAAAGATTATAGGGTTGCTGTCAGTAGTGCAATTTAGTTCTCTAAATTTGGATTTAGGTTTTACTGCTGAGCTAAAGAGGAATTCTGAATTGTTACAATATAAAATGTGAGTCATCATGGCCAATTACTGGCTGGAGAGAGGGGAGTATTCAATGTTCACGTCCTACTGACCATAAACTGATGGGAAAAGCCACGGCCCATCATTTGGAAATTCAATAGTAAACATACAGAGCCTCTTATGCTCTTAGGATTGGGGTGTGAGAATACAATTTCCTCACCCCCTAGCACCTAAGTGCCTCTCCTCTACCCTCGTTCTAGGCACAAACTCAGAATCACACAAACCCACTTATATTAGCCTCCCCCATTCCAGACCCTGGCGGGGAGCAGACCTAGAGCAAAAATGTCTACTTGGGAAGTTCTACCTGTCCCCACCCTCTGCTCTTCCATGTGTCGGGCTGTCAACTCACATCCGCCATGATGAACCCCTTTCTCACGCAGATCAAGCTCCACTCCTGGAAGAGAAACCCTTGGTGACTATTCCCACAAAGCTTCCTCGCCCTCTCCACCCAGCCAAAAGGGGATTCAGGCCCACGTCGGGGCCGGACCCCGACGCCACGGCTCGTGGACTCGGGTCCCGGAGGCCGGAGGAATTGGAGTTCCCCAAGGCCTAGAGCGGCCGGGACACCTTACCCCACTCCACCCTTCCCCAGAGTCCTGGGCCTCTGGATAAGAGAGGTGGCGTCCTCATCTTCCGTTTCCTCGCCAACCGCCCTCCCTCGCTTTCCCGGCACAAAACTACAGCCGGCAATGCGGCGACACTTACCTGGGTTTTCACTCCCGGGGAGACGCGGTCCACTCGGCTGTCTGTCACTTCAGGGGCAGCCTCAGACACAGACGCCGCTGCAAACCGTCATCACGTGACTCGTAACCTCGTCGGCTCTCCAGGAAGCAATTCAGGCGCCCTGAACGCCGAGGACACGCGACTTCCGGGGACGGGGAGCGGAAACCGAGCTAGGGGCCGCGGCGCCACCCTG